ATGGTAATCATGCAGATACAGCCACATTCCCCACAAAACACACACACGTATATGAAAAATGTTGAAGAAAAAAAAAAATTATTTGTGCAAAAACCTGATCGCTAAGTTACGCCCCCAACAGATGACAGGTGCGTCACAGCGTGCATCACAAGCCGTCACGACAGAGCGCCAGAATTCAAATATTATTATTAATTTGTTATTAAACAATATTCTGCGTATCTTTGACCTTTTTTTTTAGTGGATGGTCTCATTCTGTTTGTGACACTGTATGCTACAAAACCATGTTGCTTTTTACTACCAAGATGCAGTTTTTTGAGCGTAAGTTATTCCATAACGGATACAAACAATAACTCTACCCGAAGAAATGAGAAGTAAACAAAGGAATAACCATCCATATCACACCTGTTACGGGGCTGACGAGACGTGAGACGTGCGGATCCATGTGCAACGCTTTATTCTGGAGACGTGGTCAGAAACAGGCATAAATCAACCATTGGCAAACAGGTATAATGAGGGCAAGACAGCAGAGTAATCCAAAACGGGCGTGGTCGATAAGCGGCTAACAATATCCAGAGGGCTTGACATGAGGGGTTATCCAATAACACGAGCTAGAGTCCAGGCGAGGTGCAAACACAGTCCGAAACAGCAGGCAAAGGGTTAACTCAAGATAAACAGGCAATAATCAGGTAACACGGGAAAGCAGGCAAGACAAGACTATGACTAGACTATGGAAACTAGAACTAAATACTTAAACAAGGACAGGGAACTGGCTCCGTAAAGTAGCTATCGCTAGGTGAGTGATATGCGCTTACAATACTTGGCCATGAATGGTTGTTTGAGTGAGTGTTATATAGTGAATGTGTGATTGGTTACAGCTGTGTGCAATCAGTGCAATGGATGATGGGATATGTAGTCCGGGGACGATAAACTGTGACTTGACTTGGTTCATGAAGATAAGCTGTGACTTGACTTGCCTCATGACGATCAGGTGTGACTTGACTTGGTTCATGAAGATCAGGTGTGACTTGACTTGCCTCACGACGATCAACTGTGATTTGACTTGATTCATGACGATCAACTGTGACTTGACTTGACTCATGAAAAATAACTGTGACTTGACTTGGTTCATGTAGATCAGCTGGGACTTGACTTGACTCATGACAATAAACTGTGACTTGACTTTGTTCATGAAGATAAGCTGTGACATAATGGGGTGCTGTTGTGTCCGCCAATTTGCGATCAAACTCCGCTGTCGCCACCATTTTGTGAGCGTGCTCTAGTGTGGCCGCCATTACACAAGCGGACTCGGCGTCATGTTTCTCCGCAACCCCCACCGTGAACACGGAGTCGACACACAGCAGAGCAATTAACTCAAGATAAACAGGCAATAATCAGGTAACACGGCAAGAGGTAAGCAGGCAAGACAAGACTATGACTAGACTATGGAAACTAGAACTAAATACTTAAACAAGGACAGGGAACTGGCTCCATAAAGTAGCTATCGCTAGGTGAGTGATATGCGCTTACAATACTTGGCCGTGAATGGTTGTTTGAGTGAGTGTTATATAGTGAATGTGTGATGGGTTACAGCTGTGTGCAATCAGTGCTGTGTGCAATCAGTGCAATGGATGATGGGATATGTAGTCCGGGATGACATGCAACAGTTTGTGTAGTGCGAGAGTCAATGCAATGGAAGGGTCACCTCTGGTGGTGATTGAACGGAAGTCCATGGACAGGATTCGTGACAACACCGTTATTGTTTTGTTGGACTAAAAGTGCTCTATGGGATGTTGTTCAGTGGACCCTTACCTTTCTAACTAAACCGGGATTTACAGCAGTGGATGCGTTTGTGACTCGTTATTACGATGAATCTGGTACGTACTGCGTTTTGATTATGCATGTTTTGATGTGTACTGCTTACGCAAATTTAGCAAATACATTCTTTATAAGCGCTCCATTGAAAAACAACGATCTATCGTCGATGCTTGAGGCTTAGACCTTTTAGAATGATGTATAGTTTGTCAAGATTAATTATGTCCCTTTTCATTTAATCTATTCGTAATCATTGACACGTGCAAACAAAGAGCGTTCAGTGCGCCGACGTCCAGGTGGGGGTTAACAGGTTAATGTATTTTTATGTGAAATAAAATTTAAAAATCAGTGTGGTACAATTTTTTTCAGGGCACTTCATTGTCTATAACTTTTTGATGGATGATGGATAGTAAAGCCCAAAGGGTCTTCTTTCCAAAGACACCAAAATTGTGTGTGTAGCACACTGTTGTCAGGAACTGTTACCATTTTAAGTTAGGTAGGTCATTTTCAGCTGTGAGTCCTAAAATGGGGGGTGCAGGTTAACAGGTTTAATAAATTAAATGATACTCTAAAGAAGAAACTGAAATTTCCAGCAGGTGGTGGTAAATGTCTTTCTGAGTCATTGGCTGTGTTTGAAACCGCATACTCAATGAGTAGGTACTTAATTTCAATGAGTACTTACTTAACGAGCGCTAAAAGAGTACGTACTCTACAGCCAAATCTCATTAAGTATGAATGCGATCTGGACATCATCCGCCATGTTGACGTTATCATGTGACTTACGACGTAATAACAAGTGCAACAACTTAAAAGATATGAGCGACAGGTTTAATTCATTTATCTGTAAATATTTTGATGTTGATGAAATTTCATTTTGTGGTCTTGTTGAAGACAGCTGACCTTTTATTTTGTGATTGTAGTATAACCAGTAAATATTGGGTTGATTTAAGTTTTTATGTTTTTAACCCTACTAATATGATCCCCAGTTCCCCTTCTAGGGAATTCCACGCTGCGCCCCCTAGGGGGCACTATGGGGAATGCAGTCTGCATGACCGGTATCTGAAGCACGTGTGAAACCATGCTAATCTATTGGCACACCTGGCCCATGACGTCATAGGCGGGATTCCCGGAAGTATAAAAGGGCACCTGCCGAATACGTCATCCTCTTTGCTGTCTTCAGGAGCCGTCTGTTTGCAGTACAGTGTGTTATCATGTCTGACAACCCAGGTGAGCATTTCAAGAAGTGCGTGCCTCCGTGTCCTAGGTTTTTTGACACCTGAGGACACGCACGACTTGTGCGTTATGTGCCTGGGGGAGGAGCACACGCGTTCGGTGCTTGAGGCCGCTGAATGTAAGCATTGGGAATCATTTCCAATGCGTAAGCTCCGATCACATTTGTCCCTTTTTCTCGCGGGTTGGGTCCCGCTGCTGCTGAGGCACGGCGGAAACTCAGCTCGTGGGGATCGCAGGTTGAGCTCGCAGAGAAGTTTGAGAAAGGCATGGATCTTTCAAAGGCTCCTACCACGGGCTCTAGCGTGCTGCGGGATCCAAACACTCTGTCGTTGGAGTCATCTGATCCTGATAGTGCGCTGCTGGGCTCTTCTAGTTATAGTGACGAAAATGAAGAGGTTGATGTGGTTGGTGACGATGATGAGAGTGTGAGCACCGAGTCGTCATCGGGCATTCCCAGCCGCGCATACAGGGATATGCTGGATGTGATGGATCGTGCCTCTGAGCGGCTCGTTCTAGCGTGGAGATATCTAAATCCTGGGGGAAACCGTTTTCCTTTCGGCTGCATGTCTTTCAGCACGCAGATTATGCGAATGTTGAGGGTGTGGCCGAGCGCGATCCAAATCCTTGAATGAGAATGGAAGCAATGCAATAGAAGGTGAAATAGTCTATGTCTATGATGATTCCCAAGTCCTGCTGATGATTTCAAAAGAAAAAAATAGTCCTTAAATAATGAAAATAATCCAGCAAAAATGTCAGTCCACAAAGCTAAATCCTTGTACTTGGGACATTTGATAATTCACAAGGTGATATGGTGTTAACAATCCTTTATGAAGAACTCCTAATTCCACTCGATGTCTATATCAGTAGAGTCTTTGCAACTACTCATACTCATTTAAGGAGGAAACATAAACATAAATTCAATATATCAATTGAAAACAGATACAAAAATATATATATAAAGAGAAGAAAACCTTACATGATTGAGCTGGAAACAAAGTTTCTTAATTGTGACTCCATGAGCTTTGCTAATAGTAGGACCATGTTTCCCTCTACCAAGAAAATCTTCTACTCTAATACCTGGTTAAATACCTGGGGTGAGTAGAAGAATCTGAGAGATGACAGATGTCTGGTCTGTTTGTGCAATTCTACAAGACATACTATACATATATAAATGATAAACTTTTTTAAAACAGTAATAATTATAGAGAATCAATAAGTCATCAATTAGAAAGTATATAGCCTTTTAAAATACTCAGTCAGACTACAATTAATCAAATTACAACTCCTTATTTTTGGAATCTGATTATGTAATTCAGATGACATACAGTATAATTAGTAACTACTCAGCAGGTTGTTTAATTTGACACAGAGTCAACGAGGAATCAAACACCCCGAACCCAGCATAGAGGGGTTCAGTGAATGTGGTGTTGAATGTGTATAAGTGTGTGAGTGTGAGTGTGTGTGTGTCAGAGATGCTGTAGAAGGACAGCGTGCCGGCCGACCAGTCCAGATACACTCCTACTCTATTAGAGGATGAAGGGCGAGGAATTTCAGTTCGCTTGTTATTGTGCCAGACAGTGAATGCTTTTTTAGAGCAGTTCAGACTCCAAGATTTGTCATTGTATCCAAACCAAGAGTTATTTCCTTCTTTCCTACTGATTCCTTTATATGCCGCTGATATATAAGACCATCCACTCCATTCAGCCTCCCAGTAACAGCGTCCAATCAGACTCTCTGTACACAGAATCTGACACCACTCAACAAATCTCTCTGGATGATCAGGATACGGCTGATAGTCTTCCACACGTGTCACCTTTCTGTTTTCCTCAGACAAGACGAGTTGAGCGTTTACTGTGTTCGGATCCAGTGTGAGATCATAGGCATCTGAACACAAGAACAGAGATTAGAAGTACTTGAAGGACAGTTTTAGAACTGTGTTCTTGTTTAGCTATACTTGTGAGGGCCAAATGTCCTCACTTATATAGTGAAATATAATGATAACTGACTAGTGAAGACATTTTATGTATCCCCTTTAGTTAACCTGTTAACCAGCTAAATATGACATACCCAAAATCAAATGTCTTGTTTGAAAGCAGACACTTGATATTTTATTATCAGTTAGTAATAGGAATTTGTATGAAATACATTCAAGAAAAATATATTAAGACTATATAAGGCCTGAAACTTATTTGAAAGCTTTTTACCAAGTTCTGGGTCCAGTTGCATAACATCCCAGCACATAATCCCAGCACATTAGAGGGTGCTAAATACTAGGGCTGCCCCCCAATAGTGGACTAATCGTTAGTCGACCAGAAGAGGCTTGGTCGACCAAAATGTTATTAGTCGCAGGAAGAAAAAAAATCCACAGGCGAAGTAACGCAGTCCGTGACTGACAGATCGTTAACGGCTGGTCTAATACACTACATCGAGCAGGACATCCAAACGCTCACCTATCATTCATTGACCTCAAATATGGCTTATCATCTAAAATATGTAAGTAGTGGAGTGCTGTGTGGAGTGGAAGCTGAACAGCAGCTCACAGCAGGACAGATGGAGGCGCCGGTGTGCTCACTTTATCCTAAAACTTTTTTGGTCAGACAGATAAGAGTAATACATCTTTCAAATCTGTAATGACTCTATGTTTATTTGTGTGCACTCACAATAACAACAAAACATTGCACTTTTGTAAAATAATGAAAGCAAAGTCCTGGCCAAACATCCACAGACAGCTCGCGTTCAGAGCGACATCCAGTTCACGGACCAAAAGTGTGAGTAAACTTTATTGAGATCGGGACATATCAACCAGTAATTAAATTTCAAGTAACGAACGGTAGAAAATTCAGGAATGAATGGTATGTGACTTATGACAGAATATAGTCGCACAACTGATCATTAATTTTTTTCTTCACGTCTCGCCTTTGGTAACAATGATTCACGGTGCTTTTTTTTCTTGCCCCCTCCTTACTCAAGAGTCAAATATCGCCCATGCAGCTGACATTATGGCTTTCTTCATCCAGCTGAGAATCTTTTCAAGAAAGTTTTGTAGTTCAGTCTGTACTTCATGCCAGTGGCATAGCCCCAGATTTCTGAGTGCTTAAAGTATATAAAAAAAGTAATTTAATGTTTCATGGAAAACAGCAAGGACTTTACCATTTAAAAAAATTATTGAGAAACTAATAAAGTTAAAGGTGCAATAGGTGATTGTCTTCAGAAATATTTTTTGTTATGCTGGTTGAAAGTCTCTTCACATCCTGATAGCAATCATTAAGTTAAGTGGTCTAAATGTATTTGTCTGTATTTATATATTCCGTGGAAGGCGTAGGACCAAGAAATGTGGTCCGAGCGTTTTAATATGCCTTCCTACCTGCCTGTCAACGTATGTATTAGCATACCTCTGCGCACCCGGTTCGCGCAACAGGATACGTCATCAGCGCATTCACGCACGCTGTGCAGACAGAGCGAGAATGGCAGACAAACATCAACAACCCCATCTTCCTTCCTGGTATTGTAGTAACGTTACTTTTAAAGTTTTCTCACCGGTGAATCACACATGATGTAGCCCAGCAGTTAATCCAGTCCTCGCGCCAGGTCGTTAGAAGTGAGCTACGTGCATGAACTGTGTTCCGATCGATATGATCCCTACACAGTGTTCATTACTGAGCGGGGGAAATCCGTTGAAGTTTACTTCACTTCGGAACATGGGCTGGAATTGGGAACCGCTGATGTAGCCTATTGTAGTAATGTTGTCTCTGGTATTCTGGTCTGTGAGCGTAAATGCGTTAAGGGGGCGTGGCTTTGGAGGGCGATTGCAGGGAGGGTGGGACATTCGCTTTCAGTGCTATCAGGCTAAAGTTAGCATTTTCCAAGATCTCCTACAGCACCTTTAATGATGCTTAATCGTCATCTCTACGGTGGACGCACAATATACTTTTCATACGGATTACATAATCTGAGAATATTTGTTTTGTTTTGAATTAGTTCATTATTAAAACATTTCGCGTAGATCCTATTTCTCATGTCTGTGAGGCAACGGAGTTTCGGTTTATTTTTGACGCGCTCAAGTTCACAGGGATCGAGACGGCAGAAATAGTATCCTGTTTGTTTTTATTATTTTACAGTGCACAATGTTTTGTTGTTATTGTGAGTGTACACAAACAAATGTAGACCCTTACCAGATTCGAACGATGTAATTATTCTTGTCTGTATGACCAAAAATGACGGAGTATTTTAAGTGCAAGTGATCGCACATTTAGTACAGACATTATAGCCTACATGTAATATTGAGTGGCCCCCTCATTTTAAGTTTCTGATTAATTTAAAAATTCTGGCTATGCCACTGTTTCATGCATACCTATGGCAGAGGCCTCACACTGCGCTCTTGCTTTAAAGCCAAATAAACAAAGAAATGAATAATTCACTAAAAACTGGAAGTAAGTCACTGTTGTCACTATCATCTGAGATGTAATCGGCTGGGTTTCTATGTTTTCTGTGGATTAGCACTATTCTGAACTGACTGTTTAAATGCATTCTAATTCTATTAATATCTAGTTTTGTGCACGTTTCTGTGATGGTTATGTTTAGGGGTAAGGGCTGGGTTAGGCAATAGAAAATATCATGAACCTGATGTAAAAAACAATGAGTGTGTGTATGTGTGTAAAAGAGAGAAAAGACATACATTTTCTCAAACCTGGTGTGATTCTGAAATGTTCTCCATGATCCAAACTAGAAAAAATAAAATAAATCATTCAATCAATCAATCAATCAAAAAGTAACATACAATTGATAAAGTACAATTAAGATGTTTAAACAAAGAATCTCTCAAAGCAGCACATGTGTTTCTACTGACGGTTAAATTTACAGAAAAATAACTCTATGCAAGTACACAAATGCACATATTGCAAGCATGCCGCTTCTCATAGCATGCCAGAGGCAGCTTATAACACAATGACTGCCATTAAAAGTCTTATTTGAAGCGGGAGTAGTGGGAACCTTGGGCACGTATCCAGGCCGGGTCTCAGGACCATGTGAAAGTAGGTTGGCCCGAACACCAAGCACTCTACGCTCACCGAAAACGCTTGTAGGTCCCCGACCCTCTTGATGGAGGTGAGCGCGGTCAGCAGCGCTGTCTTTGAGAGACAGGAACTTAAGCTCGACTGACTCCAACGGCTCAAATGGATCCCTCTGAAGTCCCGCCAGGACAACAGAGAGATCCCAGGAGGGCACGAGGGGTGGCCTAGGAGGGTTTAGCCTTCTGGCACCCCTCAGGAACCTGACAATCAGGTCTTGCTTCCCCAGGGACCGGCCATCCACTGCCTCATGATGCACTGCGTTAGCAGCAACATACACTTTCAAGGTGGAGGGAGACAGCCTACTCTCCAAACTTTCTTGCAGGAAAGAAAGCACGACTCTGATAGGGCATTCTCAGCGAGAAGAACATCAGTCAGCAAACAAACTCCACTAGTGATAGTGTCTACCACCGCCGGTGGCAGATCACTTAAGTCTGCCGTGTCCCATCCAGGGGCCACACGTGGAGGTTCCAGAGATCTGGAAGCGGGTACCATATGATGCCCTGCCCCTGGGAAAGAAGGTCTTTCCTCAGGGGAATCCGCCAGAGAGGGGCTATCGTGAGGAGCATGAGTTCCAAAAACCAGGTCCGGGTGGGCCAGTAATATGCAACTAGCAAGGCCTGTTCCTCGTCCTCCCTGACTTTGCACAGTGTCTGTGCGAGAAGGCTCACTGAGGGAAATGCGTACTTGCGTAGGCCTCGTGGCCAGCTGTGTGCCAGTGCATCCGTGCCGAGGGGGGTCTCGGTCAGGGAATAGTTTGAGTAGCTTATATTAGGGTATCTTCGGATACTGAAGATTTTCTTTTCTTTTTCTTTAGTTAGTGTAGAATTGATAACTGAGAATTGACATTGATAATTGAGAGGGTTATGTTTTGATTATTTATTTTGTTTGATTGCCGCCCAATTCCCTCCTTTTTCCCTAGTTGCGTGGGGTTTTCCTTTTTTTTCCCTTTTGTTTCTTTTCATGTAAATATTACTGTGAGCTTTTTTTTGTATATAAGCTTTCCTATGGTAACATTGTAAACTAGATAAAAAAGTTCATCAAGACAAACTTTTGGTTGGCTTGAGAAAGCCTAGCCTGAAAGTTTAAAGCATTTGAAAAAGGCTGAAGTTTGAAAATTTAGATAAATTAGATGTTGATAACATGTTTCTAGCATGATTAGCATGTTTTAACATGATTGGCTTTTACTAGCATTTTGTTGGCATGATTAGCAAGTAACTAGCATGTTGTTAGCATGATTAGCAAGTAACTAGCATGTTGCTATCATGATTAGCAAAGTTACTAGCATGTTGCAAGCATGATTAGCATTCTACTAGCATGTTGCTAGCATGATTAACAAGTAACTATCATGTTATCATGATTAGCAAGTAACTAGCATGTCACTAGCCTGATTAGCATGTTTGCTAGTATGATTATCATTCTTCTAACATATTGTTAACATGATTAACAAGTGACTAGCATGTTGTTAGCATTTTTATAGCATGATTAACAAGTAACTAGCATGTTGCTAGCTTGATTAGCAAGGTACTACCATGTTTCTAGCATGATTAACATGTTACTAGCATGTTGCTAGTGTGGGATTACAAATTTAAGAATCTGTTTAAAATATGCTTGATCCTATGTTCTGACATAGCATCACATGAAAAACTAAGGTGAAGTACATTGTATTTAGCATTTAAGGTAAATTACATCAGACAAATGATTATCTTAAGCAAAGTGTAGCAAGAGGTTCCTGTCTTTTCCTGTTCTCTTACTGTTAGTCAAATGAACCAGATTACTGAGACGATCACCTTTTGTTTGTAATGGCTCTTGGTGCCTCTGCCCCAGTCTTTGAGTAGTTATACTGATTGAATTAGGACTGTCAGACTGATTGGATTAGCACCTATGCATTTGAATGACACTGTTATGCTGATGAGATCAAGGCTGGAAAAATGCCGGTGTCGGGCTGATTCCTGTACTTCATTTGCATGCTTTGTTTGAGGTAGTCACCCAGGTGCTTTGTCTCCATTTCTAAGCACTGCCCCCTAAATGTATATAAACTACAATGTATCACTGCCTTAGTTAGACTTTTGATGACTGCAGCGCCACGCAGCACGTTCTCAATAAAGAACTCTGCTGAAGATACCCAAGAGTCTCCTGGTCTCTGCTTCGAGAGGAAAAAGTTTCCTACACTAGCATGTTGTTAGCATGATTCTAGCATGATTAACATGTTGTTAGCATGATTAGCATGCTACTAGAATGATTAGCAAAGTAACTAGCATGTTGCTAGCATGATTAGCAAGTTACTAGCATGTTAACATGATTAGCATTGCTACTAGCATGTTTCTAACATGTTGCTAACATGATTAACAAGTAACTATCATGTTGCTAGCATGATTAGCAATTAATTAGCATGTCACTAGCATGTTTCTAGCCTGATTAGCATGTTACTAGCATGTTGCTAGCATGATTAGCAATTAATTAGCATGTCACTAGCATGTTTCTAGCCTGATTAGCATGTTACTAGCATGATTAGCAAGTTACTAGCATGTCGCTAGCATTTTTATAGCATGATTAGCAACGTAACTAGCATGTTGCTAGCTTGATGAGCAAGGTACTAGCATGTTTCTATCATGATTAGCATGTTACTAGCATGTTGCTAGCATGACACTAGCATGATTCTAGCATGATTAGCATGTTATTAGCATGTTGCTAGCATGATTAGTATACTACTAGCATGTTGCTAGCATGATTAGCAAGTGACTAGCATGTTTATAGCATGATTAGCAAGTTACTAGCATGTCACTAGCATTATTCTAGCCTGATTCGCATGTTGTTAGCATGATTAGCATGTTACTAGCATGTTTCTAGCATGATTAGCAAGTGACTAGCATGTTTATAGCATGATTATAATCTCAGGACTCAGGTCCTTTTTGTTTATTATTACTGTTCTTGTATATTGTCTTTTGTATTGTATACTGTTTTATGCATGCTTATGATAGAACCACTCGT